GAATTCGGTTTTTGTTGAAGCTATTTTAGCTCCATAAGATAGTTAAATGAACTCCGAATTCATACGTGTTTCTTTGTTGTGCTTGTGTTCGTTGATTTTAAGGATTTTGGACTTCTTAGCCCCATAAGTTGATTCATTTTCCTTAGAATTCGTTATAAAGTGATTTTGTTATGTTATGTGTTTGTTTTCCATTTTATTTAAATTGAAATTGTTTAAGTGCAATAAACAATTCTTGATTTATTGAAAATATGTTGTGTTCTTCTATGTGAATAGAAAAAACGTCATTGGTTTGAGAAGTTCATGGAAATCTGTGAAATGTGCTCATCATTAGGAGAAAAAGTTTGTTAAAATACATAAGGTATTGGCGGTTTGTGAATAGATTATGTATGAGAGTTGAATGCATAATAGATTCTCTCTTTTATAAACTTTTTCTATAGTGGAAGTATGTTTTCATGCTTGAATAGAGAGTTGGGGTTCTAAGGTATATTTCAAAACGGGCCTTTGAATTGCATGACTCCGGGCCGTGTGGAGAGTTGACAATCCTCCATATCGTGGTTAAGGAAATGAATCGACTCGGCCTTTGATCGCAAATAAGATATAACTCACCTTCGAAACTTGCCATATCTTAAAGACGACGAACAATTCTCGCAGACACATCTAAATCCAAAGCTAGATTATCGGTGCAAACAAAAACCCTAATCGGAATTTTGAAGGTGTCGTTTCGAAGCTGATTATCGGGCAGAACAATTATGTTAAATAAACTATTTACATTCCGTTTAACAGCGCTCAAACGGAGATGAGACGGAGGATCATAGGTGGAATGACACCTAATTAAAAAAGACTACTTACTTAATAATTGATAATTGAGGACTATATACGGAAACCCACCAGTTATAAAGGACCATTTAAAGAATTTACTTAAAATTTAAATTTATTTTTGTTTGAAAAACAATTAACATAAACTGCATATGTATGTCTTAAATTAATACTGTAATTTTTATTCGATGTTTTCTAAAATAGAAAATTAAAAACTTTTTTTGAGAACTTTAAAACATGATGAATAAAATAAGAAATCAAACAAAACAAAAAAAAATGAATATCCTTGTTGAACATCCCAATTTTATGGCTTTTTAGGCATTCTAAAAATTTCTTTTTGTATAATACTCTTTTTCTATATGTTTTAATCTTTTCATTTATTTTTCCATATTTTTATTTTGATTTCAAACACAAAGAACTTTAAATTTCTATAAACATTATAATTTTTTTAAAGTAATTCAAAAAAACTTTTCTAGGAAATGGAAACAAATGGTCCATTCTATAGGATTTATTTTTTCTGCTTATTACTTATTCTTATTAAAATTAGATTAGATCAGATTAGATCCAATGAGATCATATCAGATTAGATCTGATCAGACTCGATATAATCAGATCAGATAAGATCCAATCAGATCAAATCAGGTCCAATCAGATCATATCAGATCCAATCAGATCAGACTAAATCAAATCCAATTATATCAAATCAGCTAAAGAATATAAAAAATAATATGAATATTTTTTTCAAAGATTAAATAATAAGTTCTATTTGATTAAATCACATTACTTTATTTAAAGCTACACACACCTAAATCTTAATTAAAATTAAAATTTTAATTATTATTATTATTATTATATTATTATTATTATTATTATTATAATATTTTAACTACAAATCATTATTACTAGTAACTGTTTAGCATGTTGAAATGATGGATGGAAGCAATGTTAAGGCTTAAAAAGTAGTGTTTTTCATATTTTAAAAGAGCTCCTATAGAAAACTTGTTTATAAAAGAATTATACAAAACTTAAAAAGACTCGTTTTTAAAACCATAAATACTTTTTCACTTAAAAAGACTCACTTTTAAACTTAAAAATGACATAATATATAGAAGAGTGAGTTTATGACAAAATTGGTAGATGTGAAAAAAATATTAGTATTTAAGGTTTGATGTGATGTGTAATTTCTAACATGTAATATATTATTATGTAATATGCATATAGAATATGATATTTTTGTAGAATAACATCTCTATTTTCTAATATTTTGTTATTTTAATACTTAGTAATAATACACTCTCTTCACTATATAAATAAAAATTGATTATTCAGTTTTTCACAAAGATTAAAAAAGTAGTGATATTGAAAAGATAATTAATACGGAGTATTTTAAAGAAAATGTTTAAATATATCAATGATTAGCTATTGTCAATGATTTTCTTATTTTTTTTATATGTATATATGAGTTGTAATGCTTTAAAACTATCAAATTATCGTAATACATTTAATTTTAATTTAAATTCATTTACACCAGATAAAATCAGATCCAATTAGATTAGATCAGATTCAATCATATTAGATCATATTTAATCATATCAATTCATATTCAATCAGATCAGATCAATTTGAATCAAATTAGACCAGATCTAATCAGATCAAACTCAATCAGATTAGATTTGATCAGAACTTCAAAAATTTAGATCAGATTCAATCAGATCAGGCGTACAGAACAGAGCAAAAGAGATAAAAAAGGAAAAAACAAAGTAATAAACGAAAAATAAGAAATGAGCATGTGTGCCCCTATGATTTAGAAAAATATGCACCAATGTCTCCTCTTCGTCGGAAAATGACCGAAAAATGATCAGAAGGGGTGTGAGTGCAACGTTTTGACCAATTTTTCAATCTAGAATGTTTTTTTAGTTTCCCAACAAATTCAAAGAAAAGTTAGCTGGAAACTTTATGGGAGTGGAAAATGAATGTGTGGACTGTGGAGGACTAGAGACAGACTTTTGTAATTTGGCTGAAAAAGAAAGTTTTAAAAAGTACTTATACGGATTACGGAGCACAAAACAAAAGAGAGAGAGAGAGAGAGTTGCCAATAAGGCAATAATGCTGAAGTTTTTTATGCAGTGTATGTGTAACTGTTTACTGCTCTTCTTTGCCAGCGGTTCTCCTGCTTTTGTAGATTTGGTGTTGGTGGGCCTACCCTCCATCGGCCTTTCAGATACATTATTGTCTAACGCGAAATCTAATCTTATGTCCCCGGTGGCCTAAGGATTGGGTTTGGGTTGCTCTCTTCTGATCTGAAACTTTCTGGAAGAGAGAGAGACAGAGAGAGGGTGGGAGCGATGGCGGAGAAGCCTGAAGTTCTCGACGCTGTGTTGAAGGAAACTGTGGATTTGGTAATGGATCTGGGTTGTTAGTTCACCTTTGGCTTCTTCTGTGAGAGCTTCACTCTGTTTGTAATATTCTTCTCATTTCACTCGTTTGGTTTTAGGAAAACATCCCAATTGAAGAAGTGCTTGAGAATCTGAGATGCACTAAAGAGGGCCTTACTAGTCAGGCGGCCCAAGAAAGGTTGGCCATTTTTGGGCACAATAAGCTCGAGGAGAAGAAGGTTCTAACTTTTACTTATGGTTTTCTTTGGGACTTATTGTTCTTCTAGATGTAATTTCATGCTATATTTCTCTCTTACCAATTTTCATGTTGTCTTATTTCATGTATATGATGTTTTACTGCTAGATATAACTGGATTTTGACAGCGGAATAATGTACATTCATGGTTTTGTTTTCATTAAACGGCAATTGTACTTCATAATTGTTGGTTATTGTACTAAATGCTGTTTTTTTAAATGTTAGTCTTTTCTTGAATCAAATTCTGGTTGCCTGTAAAACATGTGTGAATTTACCAACTGTTCTGTTTGGCTTGTGATAGGATAGCAAATTCCTGAAGTTCTTGGGGTTTATGTGGAATCCACTCTCATGGGTGATGGAGGCTGCAGCTATCATGGCCATTGCTCTTGCAAATGGAGGAGTGAGGCTCTTGTTTAGATTCAGTTCAGTTTGGCTGTTTGTTATGCCGGTTCTTTTTGGATTCACGTAAAGATACTTCTTTTAATTTCAGGGAAAGCCCCCGGATTGGCAGGACTTTGTGGGTATCATTACTTTGCTCGTGATAAACTCGACTATCAGTTTCATTGAGGAGAACAATGCGGGTAACGCAGCAGCAGCTCTTATGGCTCGTCTTGCTCCTAAAGCCAAGGTAATATATAAATATATAAATAAATACACACACACACAGATATGTATGTATATATAATATGTGTGTGTGTGTGAGTGAGAGATATGGGGAAAGAAAGAAGTGAAAGGGAAAATGTGTCCAATTAGGGTGGATTTAGCATCACACACACATGGATATGTGTGCATGTGTCTGCGTTAGCCACATTGGTTACTGACCTTTGTTTTCTTTTTGTTGTGGTTGGAGGTCTTACGAGATGGGAGATGGAGTGAGGAAGATGCTTCTATTTTGGTACCCGGTGACATTGTCAGTGTCAAACTGGGAGATATAGTTCCAGCTGATGCACGCTTACTTGATGGCGATCCTTTGAAAATTGACCAGGTTCTTGTTCTATAAGGAATCTGTTGTTCCTGGTTTTGCTGAATATTCATCTCTGGAAATACTGTATGTGTGTGCATAACAAACCATTCCTAGCTGCTTATATTTTCCCTCAATTTTGCAGTCTGCTTTGACTGGTGAATCTCTACCTGTAACTAAGGGTCCTGGAGATGGTATCTACTCTGGTTCTACGTGTAAACAGGGAGAGATAGAAGCTGTGGTCATTGCCACTGGGGTTCATACTTTTTTTGGGAAGGCTGCACACCTGGTTGACTCTACTAATCAAGTGGGCCACTTCCAAAAGGTAAGTATACATACATATGCCTTATTTGTACATATATGTTATGTTCATTTTTTTTCTTTTTTTCCCTGTAACCTGTCAATACTAAAGTATCTCTGTCTTTTTTTTTGGTTTTATGACCAGGTTTTGACTGCCATTGGAAACTTTTGCATTTGTTCTATTGCCGTGGGCATGATTATAGAAGTCATAGTGATGTACCCAATCCAGCACCGGAAATATCGCCCCGGAATTGACAATCTTCTTGTACTTCTTATCGGTGGAATTCCAATTGCTATGCCAACGGTTCTCTCGGTGACAATGGCAATCGGTTCCCATCGCCTTGCACAGCAGGTTTATATGTTGGCCAATGTCATTTAAGTAGCTCACTGTTAAGCAGTACTTTACTATGATTAAACAATCGTGCAGGGAGCTATCACAAAGAGAATGACAGCTATTGAGGAGATGGCTGGAATGGACGTGCTCTGCAGTGACAAGACAGGAACTTTGACCCTGAACAAGCTCACTGTGGACAAGAATCTTATTGAGGTTAGAATAGCTGAATAATATGAGTATGGAGTGATGTGTCTATCAATCCTTGGGAAATCACAATTTTCCGTTGTTTTTTTCACAGGTCTTTGCCAAAGGAGTGGATGCAGACTCTGTCGTTCTAATGGCAGCCCGAGCCTCTCGTACTGAAAACCAAGATGCAATTGATGGTGCCATTGTGGGTATGCTTGCTGATCCAAAGGAGGTAAATTTGCTCCATTCAAGACTACATTTTCCGCTTCATTCTGCTACATCCTCTTAAACATTATAATTATGAATAGGCACGAGCTGGCATTCAAGAAGTCCACTTTCTCCCTTTTAATCCCACTGACAAGCGAACAGCTCTTACATATA